TCACACACACTTATCATGAATTATGCATGAGGCTGGATGGACAGCCCTGCCCAGCAAGTAGAGATTAGGATACTCCAGCATGGCAATAAGACCACCCCTTCTTGTTCATGAATAATTAAAGACCAAGGATAGGAGCCACAGGGGAAACCCAGGAGAAATGTATTTGCCTCCTCCCCACCCCTGATTAACTGCACATGAACCAGGGCTGCCTTGGTCCAATCAAATCCAGGCTCATAATGCTTTTGACAGGTGCCTCAGTTTCCACAGCTGTAAAATGGGGATAGTACTCACCTCATAAAGGCAATGTGCATTATCAAAATCAGAGAATATGAATTACGGAATGAGTTCAGGGCAGTGCTGGCACAGGATGCTTAAATTACTATATAATATATAAAAATGTAAATATTATATATTAATACAAAGGTTATGTCCCTCCCAGAAGGACACTGGAATGCTAAGGCCATCAATGTCCATTAAATAGGTAGGGCAGACTACCAAATCACCAGATAAACCCTGGGCACACAATAAGCGCCCAACACTGTTGAATAACAGCAGATCCCATTCATAGATATGGTGGCTCCTGCGGTGTTTCCTTTCCATGCATTGTACCACTGATCAGGAAATTGGTTCCTTCTTGTCTTCAGGTCTCAGCTCAAAGGTAACCTCCTTAGAGTTCTTAAACCCTCACAAAAATCATCCCTACCCACTAATGACTAGCCGTGTGACCTGGGGCCAGACAGTTCACTGATCTGGGCCACTGTTTCCCCACCCATAGAATGAGAACAGTGACTTACCTTGTCACGGAGATTCAATGAGTAAACATGTAGAAAAGGCTTGGAACGGTGCCTGGCACAGAGTGCTAAATGACTGACATTAGTAGTAGTACCATTAAATTGGGGAGGGGGGGGTCGATTATAGCATTTGATTAAAATTACAGACTGGAACTAGACTGGTTAGGTTTGAATGCTGGCTCAGCCACTCACTGACTGTAACTGTAGGCAGATTACTTACCCTTCTGGTGTCCCAGTTTCTTCATCTATTAAATAGGATAATAATAAGCTACCTCCTAGGACTGTTGTGGGGATTAATGGGCTAATAAAGTGCTAAATGCATGTAAACTAATCTGATCATCATGTTGCCTATACCTATTTTTCAGGCTCACAGAAAGATTTGCCAAAGATCACACAGCTGGCAAGGATCAATGGGATTGGAGTGTGGAGCCTTTGTTGATAATCTGGGATCAGTGGGTTTATAAAGACAAGAACCATGTATGAGGGAGGCCTCCTCCGTTCCCTAGAGGAAAGGTTTAAATCCTGGCGACTCTAAGGGAAAGCTAACAGTGGATCATGTAGATGAAGCCTTGTAAGCCACGCCCCTCATGAATTATGCACAACGCCCCTAGAAAAGCTACAGAAAACTCGGGGTGGGGGGGGGGGCTACTCACCTTTACGATTTATCAATGAGTTCTAGTTTGCCAGAAAGACTGAAGAACGCCCCTTCAGCATGCTCATCCAACCCTCTTGAATAATTCACAAGTCATACTTCCAGCGCACTAGGTGCAAAAGAGGCAAAAATGGACTTCCTAACAGCCCCACCTCCTCATGAATAATGAATAAAGCCGGGCTAATGAAGGCTCGGTGGAGCCCTGTCCCCTTGGGAAGCGCTTAGGGCTTCAGTACCCCTTCCACAGTCCGGGTTAGGGGGCCCCTCTCCCTACCAGCCTGTGGGTCCCGACGTCTCCAGTCTCTCTGCCCCGAGTGCCCGAGCACGGGGGGTTACCGCACCATAGAACCAGAGGTCACAAAGGCCACGGATACCCTTACAATGCCACGTTGGTCCTGAACGTTCCCACAGTCACCAGGACCTCCCCTGAAACAAGCCGTCCCCCAATACAGCCTTGACTTCAGGAACCTCAAATTTCACCTACCCGCTTAGGGAGTGCCCCAAATTCTGCCCCGTTAAGAGAGTACTCAGAATACTCATACATAGACCCTAAAGGTCTCCTCCAACATCCTCTTACACCCTGTCTCTGACAGATAGCTACATCCTGCCTCCGAGGGATACTCCCTAAAACAGATCCCACATCCCACCCACCTCGAGTCCCCGAAGATCACTTGTTTAGGATCCCTCTCCAAACAGCTGCCCCTAATAGCCACCCGGGGCCCGGAGCCTTCAAACATGCCCATTGGGGGTTCCCCGAAACTGAGATCGCCTCCCTCAGATGCTGTCCACGGGCTGGGGGGTACCCACCGTGCTCTAACTCACCCCCTAAGTCGAGCGGAAGCCTCGCCTTCCTACTGGAGATGAGCCGACGCCACGGGGCAACGGAAGAGCAAGGCAGCTTCTCCGTCGCCCAAGAGAAGCCAGAGTTTGCGCGGAGCTCGAAAGCGCGGGGCCTCGGGTGCCTCGGTTGGAACGTACCACGGACGCTCAGCTCAGAGGGGTGTCTGCCTCAGCGGCCGCGCCGTCAGCGGCCCGCGTCAGACCCGAACACCCCTGCGGGTTGTGGTCCTTCCCAGAAGCACGGGGCATGCTGGGGGTAGTAGTTCAGCCCAGCTGGTGCTTGGTGCACGTGGTGAGCATCCGCTCCAGATTACTGGAAAAAGTAAACCTAACTGTGGAACTCTGGGCGCGGTGCTCTGGGGCGTGGGAAAGGGCAGCGGAACGCTCTTCCATCAGATCGTTCCCTTCTTATTTATCCTTTCCCTGACCTCAGAGACCTGCCCTGGTACCCCAAGTACAGTAGTCGCTGGATGCCTCTGGGAGAAGGTGACATGTGGAAAGTGAGGAATTGAGGCCCCAGTAACACGAGGAAACCATCCCAGACAGGGAAACCATTCTGGACAGAGGGTACATCAGGTGCAAAGCCCCGAGGTTGCAAGTTGCTGTAATGTTTGAGGACTAGCACAACAGTCCACAGCTGGCAAGGCGTGAGGAAGGGAGGGCACCGTGAGATAAGGTGGAGGCCATAACAAGTAGGGCATTGTAAGTCAGCCAGAGATGGGAGAGCTGTAAAAGGGGGTTTTCAGCGGGGGAGTCACGTCATAGAAACTATCTGGCTGCTCTGTGTGGTGAGAGAAGAAATTAAGAAGAAAGGTGGAGGCAGAAAAACCAGTGAAAAGGCTACTGTCAGTCGGAGAAGTGATGAGGGGATCAGAGTAAGATGGCAGGTGTGAAGAGGGAGCACCCTAATCAAGACATGGAAACTGCCATGGGCAGTGGCTCGGTTGGTTGGAGTATCCTCCCGCACACCAAAAGGTTATGGGTTCCACTCCCCATCAGGGCACATACCTAGGTTGCAGAGGGTCCAATCCCAGGTTTGAGCACTAGGCAACCGATGTGAGGGAGTTTTCCCTCACATTGATGTTTCTCTCTCCCTCTCTCTCTCTCTCAAATCAATACAAACGTATCTTCTGTGAGGATTAAAAAAGTAAAAAATTAAAAAGATATGGAACCTCTTCATTATCCCAGAAAGCTACCTTGCAATCCTTTCCAGTAAACAACACGCTCTCCACCTCCATCCTATGCTGACTGCCATCACCATGTGTTCCATCTGATTGAGGATTCCTCAAAAGTGGACTCATACAGTCTACATTCTTTTTGTGTCCTTTCCCCTCAACATGTTTGTGAGATTCAGTCATGCTGCTTGTATTCATATTTTGTTCCTTTTTATTGCTGAGTTGTATTCCATTATATGAATAGACCATAATTTATCCATTCTCCTCTTGTTGCATGTTTGGGTTACCAGTCCTGGGCTATTACGAATACAGCTGCTATGAATACGCATATAACAAGTCCTTTTGTTGATGTTTGCATTTATCTGGGGTAAACATCTAGGAATGGAATTGTTAAGTCATAGGATAAGTATATGCTTACCTTTGTATGAAACAGCCAAAGTTTCCCAGAGTGGCTGTGCGATTTACTGCTGCCAGCCATACAGGAGAAATCTTTGTTGGGGCCCCATGGTAACAGCCTGGAGAGGATGGGGACAAGGGTAGATCCAAATGGTCCTGGTAGCGATCCCTGGGACCTGGGATTGGCAGGCCAAGCTTCTCTCTTCACCACTTGGGGTCATCAGCCCTTCAAGGGCACAGGGCCTACTGGTGCCAGATTGCTATTGTTATCCACTTGGAGATGCCCTAGGGCAGTGGTTCTCAACCTTCCTAATGCCACGACCCTTTAATACAGTTCCTCATGTGGTGATCCCCAATTTCATTGTTACAAATTGAACATAAAGCATAGTGATTAATCACAAAAACAGTATGTAATTATGTATGTGTTTTCCGATGGTCTTAGGCGACCCCTGTGAAAGGGTCGTTCGACCCCCAAAGGGGTCGCGACCCACAGGTTGAGAACCGCTGCCCTAAGGCATTGTCCCAGACCCAGGGAGGGCCAAATGCAGTGTAGCCTTGCCATTACAGAACAAATTCCCCTGCAGGATGGGAAGGCCAGGGGATGGGGCAGGGGTGGGCAAACTTTTTGACTCGAGGGCCACAATGGGTTCTTAAACTGGACCGGAGGGCCAGAACAAAAGCATGGATGGAGTGTTTGTGTGAACTAATATAAATTCAAAGTAAACATCATTACATAAAAGGGTACGGTCTTTTTTTTTTCTTTCTTTTTATTCATTTCAAACGGGCCGTATCCGGCCCGTGGGCCGTAGTTTGCCCACGGCTGGGATGGGGTATTCCAAATCCTGGCTCTGACCCAGGTGGACCTCAAGCTTGCCAGTGCCCTGGTGATACTGAATTTCTTAGCACAGCAGGACCTTCTGGCCCTGACAATGGTGAAAGGCTGTGACCAGAATCTTGTGGGTTGGGCCACAGGCCAGAACCCATGTTCTGCCTGCCCCACCCCACACTGAGCTGGTAGTTACCATGTATACCCACTGAATGCCATCACTGCCACCCACCTCAGCCCCTTCTCTATCTTTGTGTATGCTCCCGTGTCTGTGTGGGCCACAAACAATGCTGGGACATGAGAAAGAGACATGCAAGCTGTGGACTTTTCAGCTTTTATTACAAAAAGAACTTGATGCTAGCCCAGTTTTCCAACAAGTCACCAACTCAAAGTCTGACGTGGTCAGGGCCTGTCTGGCTGGGGAGTGGGCTGGTGGACAGGTGCAGAGCCCTGCTCAAAACAGCAGACATTCATTCTTCCCGTCCTGGGCTGGTAGGAGCAGATGTCGAAGTAGCTCTCACAGGTCCTCACTGGGCCTCGTTAAAGCGGGTCACCATTGTCTTGTGCAATGTTTCCTTGTAGGACTCGGTGGAGGTGACCCCATAGGAGCTGCCTCGGGCACCCAAACCAGAACCCCGCACCCGTGTCTGGGCCTGTGTGAGGAAGGCAGACTGTCAGGGCACAGGGCCTACTGGTGCCAGATTGCTTACAGTCATCCACTGGGGGGTTGGGGGCCAGGTGGGGCTGCAGCAGAGAGAAATGGAGGATGGGGGTGGGATCACAGGAGACTGACCTCAATGGGGGTCACAATACCCTGCTTCTTGCGACCCAGGCCACTGCCCTCTTTCCAGCCCATGGCCTGGAGCATGCGACTGCCGATGTTGTCACTGCCCAGACCATCCCGCGTGGGCTGCTCAAAGTCTCTGCAGGGGACAGCAGTACAGTGTGAGTGACTGGCCTGCTGGCCCCAGGCCCCCCACCTGGCCCTGGGCACTCACACGGAGGCGGCAGACATGCCACCATACTTCCTCCTCTTAGGCTCTGGTGGCTCAGGGATGCCATACTTCTCTCTGCGTTCAGCTGCCCGGTCCCGGTACTTCATTTGCTGAAAGTTTGTGTGTGTGAGAGAATGGGGGAGCTGGTCACTACTGGCAGGATATATGGGCATCGATGGGGAGTCCCATGAGGAGGATCCAGGTTAGGCAGGCAGGACACTGTGGGTGTGAGCAGCTGGCATGGGGGGATTGGGAGAAAGCCTCACAGGGACAGGATGCGAGATACCTGATGGCAGCCAGGCCGTTCTCAGCTAAGAACTTGAGCACCAGCTGCCCGAGGGGATGGACATGGCAAGGGACAGGGGGGATGGAGTCTAGGAGTGGGTCACACCTCACCTCCATGTCATTCTTCTCAAGTGCTTCTAGTTCATTTTCTGACAGGTGCGCTCGCCGGTGAATCTCAAGGTTTTGCTACAAGAGGACAGGAGGAGTGAAGGGGCTGGGCCGGGTTGGGCCGGGCCGGGCCGGACCAAGGTTCCCTGCCACACCTCCCTCTGTCACCTTGTGGAGCCCGGAGAGCTGCTGGTGCCGGATGAGCGCCTCCTTGCTGGGGAACTGGCGCCGGCAGAGCAGGCAGGCCAGCTTCTGCCAGTCTGTGAGCTTCTCTTCCCGCTCCGGGCCCCCTCGCTCCTGCTCCTCCTCACTGTCACTCTCCCCGCTGTAGGCGGCCACCAACCCTCGGGGTGGGCTCTGTAGAAGGCAGGAGGGCACAGGAGGTCAGGCCTGGCAAGGTCAGAGGCACCTGACCCCTCTTTCTGGCCTGGGCACTCACTGGGCGGTCGTCGCTGGCCAGTTTCGGGAGATCCATGCTGGTGTGCTGCCTCTCAGCGAGTGCTCCCTGAGGTGGAAGGACACAAGTTCAGGGACTCCACAGGGACCGGCAGGATGATAAGATGGGGCAAGGGGTGTGGATGGGCGGCCACACCATACCTTCTTCTCCAGGATGGCGTAGCCCGCATCTGCGGTGGCTGACTCCCGCCTCTCATCGTCCCGCAGGGAGCTGATAGGCTGGAAGCTGTTTTTGAAGTTTTCTTTCTGCTTGTTGAGACTGCGGGCCCAGCGCTCCATGTCCTTGGCGATCTAGGGGTGGGGGTAGGGGGCGGTGAGGCGCTCAGAAACCCAGCTTCATTCACTGTCCACTGGCCCTGCAGCAGCCCGCCCCACCCTGCCCTGCACCTCAAGCAGGTGAGACAGGCAGTGGGGAAAGCTCCCATTTCTTGTCATACTGTCATCAATGGTCAGCAAACCCCTCTCCAGCTGTGCCCCCATTCTCCTGACAGACACCCGCATTATGATGTTCCCTGTGTTTTTTCGTTTCACCATTCTAAAATGCACAGGATGGCTTTCTCTGTCTATAATTTTTATTTACATCTGATCTTTTGCCACATCCCATATTATATTGATTTCCCCCCACGCACAACACCACTTTTAGAATTGACCAGATTGCCGATTTCTTGCTTTTAAGGGCTGCACTCAGACTGTCATACTCTCCCTATACACATGGACATTGAGGTTCCTGCCAACTGCCCAGACACAGAACACTGCAGTGGCTGGTTCCTACCCACCCCCTGCAGGGCCTGAGTTCTCTGGAACATATCTACATGCAGACACGGACACCCCATAGTGTGAAGTGGGGTGATCCCAAAGGTGTATGCAGGCCCACACCGGCCTACACTCCCACCAGCAGCGTGAGGCTTCCCACTGGGGGACAGGAAAGCTGACAAAGCTCACGTGGACAGCACTGGCCACCTCAGGGAGGTGTGAGGCCCTGTCCCGTACTGAGGAGACTGCCCTGCCTGAAGGTCACATAGCAAAGAACAGAGCTAGATCAGGGCCTGGTATCTATCCCTGGAGCAAAATCCCTGCCCACGTACGCATGTTCCCTCAGCAGCGGGGGTAACAGGACAGAAAGGCAGTCGTTGGAAGACATGAATAGCCAGCAGTGACTGCCGGGCCTGGGTGCTCACCTGCTGGGCCGTCTTGGTCTTGTGCTTCTCCTTCTTCTCTTTGCCCTCCTTGGAAGGCGCCCCTGTCTCCTTATGCCCGTCGGCCGACTGCTCCAGGGCAGGAACATAGGTCCGCCTCTCCCCATCCCAGTACAGGTACTGCTGGCTCTGAGCATTGTAGTAATACTGCGGTGGAGGAGGGGGAAGGGGAATAAGGGAGGAACTCAAGAAGGGAAATGCAGACCCCACCCGCTCGCTCCCTGAGCCGCCCCATCACCTGGGAGTTGGGGTCGTAGTAGAGGCCAGTCTGAGGATCATAGTAGTAGCCGGATGTCTCATCGTACTGGTAGGTGGAGACGTCAGGAACAGCTGGGGATGGTAAGGGGGAGTCAAACCCCTCCCTGCCTTGTGAAGAACTCCCCACCGCCCACCCACAGGCCGGGCTACTCACGGTACTGGCTGTAGGACTCCTGGGCAGTGGGGCTGGTGGCTGGTGGCAGGGCAGAGCTGGGATGGGTGGGGCTCTGGAGCTCAGATTTGAGCACAGCAGGCGACATGATGGTGTATGACTGCTCACGGGGCCAGACAAGGGAACAGGGCTCAGTGTCTGCTTGTGCCCACGGCGCCCACCCCCTCGGGGTCTCCCTCCAGCTCCCTCACCTGGCTGTTGGCAGCAGCGCTCTGGCTGCCGCTGGCCTCGGCTGCCGACTGCTGGTAGATGCCAGGGGTGGCACCAGCTTGGGCGCGGGAAAAAGCCTGCAGCGACACAGAGTCTGCCCCCGGCTCTAGGGAGGCCTCGGCACCTGGAAAGAACAGGGAGGAACGCATCTGTGAATGGCGGGGCCCAGGACCCCGTGCCTGCCGGCCCCCACGTGGGATTGAGGAGAGACGCTGGGGCTCACCTGCTCCAGCTGGGTCCCCTTTGGTTCCAGTCATGCCAGGGCCCTTGGCGCTCTTGAGGTAGCCATGGGCATAGAGGGAGGACTCTGTGCCCTGGCTGCCGCCATAGCCCTCATCCTGTTGATAGTAGCTGTAGTCGACCGATGATTCCTCAGTGGTGGCCCAGGCACCCTCCCCACCCTGGGAGGCCTGAGGGGCAGGTGGGAGGGGCTCATTAGCAAAGGAGGGGAGACAGGGGGGAATAACCTGCTAAGAAGCGGCTGCCCACAGCTGAGGCTAGTGTCTGCCGACAGAAAGCATGCGGCCCTCAGACAAGTGAGGTGAGAGGGCTGCCGGGCACAGCGGAACAGGGAGGCAGCAGAAACAAGACAGGAACAAAGATGCATGCCAAACGCTCCCGGGGCTGGCGCTGGTACGTCTGTTGTGTGGTGCATGTGCTGGGCATCAGATCAAGGAAAGTATCATACTCCCCTTCTTTAGTCTCAGCTCCCAATTTTCCTCTAGCCCCTTATCAATTCCTTTTTATTAGAGAAAGTTGTAATAATTCAGGACGATACAATAGCCGCCACACAGGAGAGAAAAGCAGCCACAGCGGCATGGAAAATGGAAGCCTGGGAGGTGAGGAGGAGAGAGTGAGGCTTTAGAGCCCACGGCAGCCACTGTGAGAGGGTTTTGGGTCCGCGGAAAGCCAAAATAGCAAGCCAGCCCTCCTGATGGCAGAGAGGGTGCGAGAGGGTCGCGGTGGCCATCTATCCAGATGCCGGGGCGGAGAAGAGTCTTTGAGTACCTGTGAGATGGCCCACTGGGCCGCAGCAATGGCAGTGCTGGCCACAGAGGCAGCATTGATGCGGCTGCCTTCGTTGGAGGCCATGTCCCTGGGGAGGATGTCAGACACTGGGAGTGAGATGGGGGACCCCCAGCTGGGGGACAAACTGGGAAGGGACACAGGTGGGACCCTGACCTCTTAGAACCCTTTGCAAACTCAACGTTGATGGTCTTGCCATCGATGGTGAGCGGCGGGTGCAGGGCCTGCAGGATCTGTAGCAGCTGAGCTGCCTCCTAGGGGAAGGAGGGGAGGCAGGGGCAGAAGGGTCAGGCCCGGGGAGGTCCCCGGCTCCATTGCCCCATTGCCAGCCATGGGGCCGCGGTGGGGGCTGGGGTCAGGGTCCCCCCTCCCCACCCCGGGGGCCGGGACACTGGCTGCCCGGCCCCCCCTGTGCCGCCCTCACCACGATGGTGGAGAGCTGGATGAAGGCGAAGCCGCGGTTCAGTTGCGTCTGCTTGTCCTTGATGACTCGGACGTTGGAGGAGGATAGCACTGCGTAGGGTGCCAGGGCCCCCAGGATGGAGTCCATGGTGCTGTGTGGGTTCAGGTTGCGCAAAATGATGGCTGCGGGAAGGGGCCCAGCATGAGGGGGCGCCCTTGATTCTCTGCTCCAGCCCTCCCCTTTGCAGGCTCCCACTGCACCCTCTCCTCTGGCCTCCACATTTTTGCACCTGCTGCTTCCCCTCACTTCTTCCTCCTGGACAAACTATGCCTGTCAGTTCCAAGTCCCAGCTCAGTCGCTCACCTACCGAGAACTCCCAACACACCCCCAAAGTCGAGTCAGGCCATGCTCCTCCCCTGCTCTCCCCCCACTAGCTGGAGACCCCTGGGAGGACGACTAGTAAGTCCTGGTCAGCATCTCTCTGGCCTTGGACAGCGCAGCCCAGACACCCGAGGGCAGGGAGGAAGAAGGAACAAACAACTGACTCACTGTCGTTGGCGTTCTCGGAGCTTGGCTCTGAGCCCTGGGACAGGGACTGGGAGGCCAGCACTCCCTGGGCCTGGTAGGGCTGCGGCAAGGGGAGCAGGCCTTGGCTCAGCTCCCGTCCACCCAGCGGCAGCGTCTGCTGATCCAGCCTGGCACCCAGGGGCAGCTTCTGCTCTGCCTCTGTCAGGGGAGGCAGGAGATAGGGTAGTGACAAAGGCGAGGCTCCAAGGCTGGCCACCCTCTGCCCTCTCCCACCAGCGTCCTGGGAGCGGGGAGGTGTGAGGCCTCACCTGACTTGGGCACACCGCACTTGAAGCACTTCTCACGGCGTTTGAAGTTCTGGACGCCACACTGTGAGGCACAGGCCAGGCCGTCAGAGTGGGGCGGGGGGGGGGGAGGCTTCCCGTTATGCCCTCCAAACCTGGATCCATGGGTCCCCCAGGGAACCCTGGCCCGCCCCGGTAAAGGGAGGCTGCAGAAGCAGGAGGCAGGGGGCTCTGGCTGTCATTCTCAGGCCTCTGAATCTCCCCTTTACACGGTCTCAAATCTGTCCCTAGTGCCAATCCAGCTCAGGAATCGACAACTTTACCACCCAGGAAACTGCTGCCTCCTCCGAGGTACCAACTCCCAGGACCGTTCCTTTAGTACAGTGGTCGGCAAACTGCGGCTCGCGAGCCACATGCGGCTCTTTGGCCCCTTGAGTGTGGCTCTTCCACAAAATACCGACTTCTGTGCATGGGCCACGAAGTTTCAATCGCACTGTACGTGCGCGCCCACACGTGGTATTTTATGGAAGGGCCACACTCAAGGGGCCAAATAGTCGCATGTGGCTCGCGAGCCGCAGTTTGCCGACCACTGCTTCAGTAGGTTCCTCTTCCCCAAACTTGCTTCCCTGTTCAGAAACCTCCGATGTTTCTCTCCCTAAAAGCCAGGAGTCCCTCTCTTGCCAGATTTCCATCCTTTCTTTATCTCAAGGACTAGGTTGGGTCCTGCTGCTCTGGAGAAATCTGCCTCTGGAGACCCCCCCGCCCCCAGCTGCCACACTTCTCTGCTCCAAGGTCAGGTACTGAGCACCACTCTTGTGCCAGGCTCTGCCCTGCATGCCTAGGATGTGGCCTCTGCCCTCAGGGCCTACCAAGAGCACAGAGGGGCAGGTGAGTGTGTGGGTCCGGGCACCAGCAGGGCCCTGAGGGGCACCGCTCACTCGGCTTGGGCAGGTCAGCAGGGTGTCTGGTTTGGTGTGGGTTTGCGGGGAAACCAGAGGTTTGCTGTAGCTGGTGAAGGACAGTGAGGAGACAGGCAAAAGGTGATGCTAGGTTATGGAGGATGGTGCCACTGAAGCTCAGAGTTATGGGGGTTTTAAGCAGAGAAGGTCAAGGGCAGGTGGTTCTGAGGAATGTTACAGGTGAGAAGGTAGGAAAGACGCCAGCATACCAGAGAGGGGCCATGGTGACTGTCTGGGGGAGGGGAGGACTGGCCTGTGCTGTGGGAATAGCAGGGAGGGCATCTCTTTTTCTTTCTTTCTTTCTTTTTTTTAATCCTCACCTGAGGACATTTTTCCATTGATTTTTAGGGAGAGTGGAAGAGAGAGGGAGAGACAGAGAGAAACAGCAATGTGAGAGGCACACTTTGATTGGTTTCCTCCTGCATGCGCCCTGACCAGAGCCCAGGTCAGAGAGGAGCCTGCAGCATGCCCTTGACTGGAATCGAACCCGGGACCCTTCAGTCTGCAGGCCAATGCTCTAGCCACTGAGCCAAACCGGCCAGGGTGGGAGGGTATTTCTATAATGGCAGTGACAGGACCCAATAACCAACAAGATGTGGGGGGTGAAAAAGGGAAAGGAGAGAATTCCCTGGTCTCGAGGAGTGTGAAAATATAGGGGGAGATGGAGTTCCACTGTTGCTTTGTCCCTACCTCTCTGACAGTAGACACCTGCCTTCTGGCATCATTATTTTTTTTTAACACAAAAGCCTAACCCCATTCCTAGGCAGAATTCATCTTGAGGAGAGGGCTGGGGACTCCCCAAGCCTTCTGCCCTCCCCTCCGGTCTCAGGACTGCCACCCAGCTGTGGGGGGTGGGGCTACAGCTTAGGGCTGCTTGTGAGGCTGGCCCCGGGCGAGACCTGCACCCATGGCCCCAGTAATCAGGAGCAAGTCATGGCTCAGGGCTCACCCAGTGCCACCTCTCTGGAACCTCAGCTTCCTCTCCGGGACTAGAACTACAAAAGCCTACAGCCCGAGCCCCCAGTCTCAGGTGGACATGGCTCTGTCACAGTGGCCTTTCAGGTCAGGTCACCTAACATGGACTCTCGAACACCCTGTGCCTTCCTTCAGAATAACGGCTGGCGGCAAACGGTGCTACCTGTGGGCCAGCAGCTGTTCCAAGTGTGACCTTCTCATCACATTTTAATCCGCCCAAGCACCTTTGGGGCCATGTCTCATTACTATTCGCATGCTAGAGATGGGAAAGCGAGGTAGAGAGAGGGAAAGGGCCATGATCAGAATCCAGGTGGAGCTGGGAGAGTCTCATTCCAGCCAGTGTGGTCTGAGGTCCGCATCTTACACACTATGTCATGCCTCCACTATCACTAGTTCATCGTTTACATAAGTATTTGTTAACCATATACTGGGACTTCCAGCAAGAACACGCTTCATGAGGGCAGAGCCTGGCACCGAGTAAAAGCTCAGTACACACGGGTGGGTGGGTGAGTGGCAAGGAATTGTGGCCACTGGAGCTGAGCCAGCCCTCAGAGGTCCCAGGGGGACAGAGATGTTGCCGCCACGGCTGCTGCTGTTTCAGTCCGTGGCCGCCCCTGCCCACCGCCCCTGTACCTTGTTACACAGCCAGTCCTCATTGATCTTGGGCTTGGGGTCGCTGTAGTGCATGGACACCTTCTGGCCCAGGATGCTGAGCGAGTGCTGCAGGAAGAAGCAGAGCCGAGTGAGGCGCAGGCAGCAGTGCCCCAGCACCGCTTCAGCACAGGAGAAGAGAGTGAGCGAGCCCTTCAGCTGGATGGATGAGGGACAGGGAACGGAGGGAGGTCGGAGAACTGACGAGGGAAGAAGGAAGGGAAGGAGGGAGGGAAAGCGCCACAGCCCTGGGGCGCAGCTGTTTGCTGCCTTTGCAGGGCACGCGCGCACGCACACGTGAACACAAGCCAACCGGGCACACAGGGCTCGGCTGAGCGACGCTTGCCTGACAGTGGGGAAACCCCCACTCGGCCCTGACACTGCCAGGCCACACTCAGGGCCAGCACTACACAGGCTACACTGGGGATGAGGGGGGGCGGGAAGGGAGGGAGAGGAGGGGAGAGAAAGAGAGAGAGAGAGAGAGAGAGAGAATACACGCGCACTAGTGCTGGAGAAGGGGAGAAAGAAAGAGCCATATTGAAAAGATGGAAGTTCCTGCTGGGAGGCTGTCTCCCCGTGGCTGGCTGGATCCGGCACTAGCCTAGGGACCGGCATCAGCCTAGGGACCGGCAGAGGTGGTCCCAGGGGCGGCCCTGCTGAGCCCTCTTCCGACACACCTGCCCCCAATGCTTCCCACCAGTGTCAGTGCCACACACCAGGGAGCCAGGCTCTGGGTGGGCAAGCAGATCCTTGGGTCTCTCAAGGTCCCAAAGCTGCTGGGGGAGCAGCCCGTGCCACTCTCGGAGAGCAGGCTCCCCAGCAGAGGGCCGGTGGGGACTCCTGTGCAGGTAGGTGCAATGGGAGGACTAGGGCCGCAGGTGAGTCCTAGGGAATAAAACTAACACGCTTGACTGGTACTTTACATCAACAGAGCAATGCTGGCCTCTTGTGTAGGAATCAAAGGGCTAAACTCACATGTGGGGAGAGCTGGTAAGACGGGACTTGCTAATGACTGTGCCAACGGCTACATTCCCCCGTGGCTGGATCCAGCCATGCCTGAGAGTGGAACAAAGTACTGGCTCTGCCTAACCCCGGAGCAGGACAGTCCCCCTGGGCGTGGGAACCTTGGTGGAAGGCCCTTCCTTCTAGTCTTTTCTCTGAAAGCTCTGCCCGGAGAGGTGGAGGGGCAGAGCTGGTGCCTGGCAGGGGAGGGGCAGGTGGTGACTGTGGGCTCTTGATGGGCTGCCCAGTGGGTAGCGAGAGATGGAAAGAGGAGATATTGAGGGTCAGGAAGGGGGAGAGAGAGGGGATGGGGGAATGGGACACAGGGCCACAGGGCAGGGAACTGTGTCCATAAGAATCAGGCGATGGGGAGCGCTCGATTACAAAGTAGTATTTGTTTGGGGGGGGGGTTCAAGTGCGGCAAAGCAACCTGATTGGCTTCCATCCATCGTGTAGCGTCCTGCAAGTGACTAAACTCGACGAAGGCGAAGCCCCGGCTCTGACCTGGAGACAGCATTCAGATACAGACGCAGTGGGTTAGTCAACAGCTTTGGACACACGGCGTTCCCGGGGGCGGGACCCGAGGGGAGAGGATGGGGGCAGAGAGGGAAGGGGGAGAGGAGAAAGGAAGAAAGGAAGAGAAAGAAACAATCAGAGAGAAAGACCATGGGGTGGGAGGCCAGGTAGATGACTGGGAGGAGCAGGAGAGAGGAGAGGAGGAGGAAGGAAAACAGCCAGAGAGAGGAGGGTGGGTGGGAAAAGATATACACACGCCAGCTGGGAAGACAGAAGTGGGGCTCAGGCCAGCCCGGGGTGACAGAGACGGAGAGAAGGAGCTGGGAGGGAAAGGGTACGAGTAGAGATCTGTCTCCAGAGAAGGAAGGAGGGCAGGTGGGCAGGCTGCTGGCTCCACATGGGCCAGAATCAATGACAGATGGGCAGGGCCCAGCACAAGGCCAGGGGAGCCCAGGAGGGGCCCTGTAATAGGTGTTGAATCAAAGCAGCCAAAGGAAAGTTGGGTCGAGCTGCTCGGTGAGGCTAGGAAGGATCCAGGCCCATCAGGAACCTGGAAGGTTAGGGAAGTAATGTCACCTCAGCCTTACCACAGTACATGGGAGGTGGGCCCAGTGGGAAGAGTATAGCCGCCCACTGCCCAGGTCCTCCTAGACAGCAGGAGAACGGGGGCCGGGATCGGCCAGGCAGGCCTTGAAGAATCAGTGGGTATCTGGGAGACGTGCCCAGGGCCGGAGGAGGCTGCACCTGGAGCACTACTGTGGGCAGAGACCAGAATCTTAATAGCACGTGGCTGGGCCAGGGTGAAGTAGAGCAAGACCTGCGGGCTATCAAGGGAGACTCCAGGCCTGGCCAAGGCTAGGAAAGGAACCCGGGCCTTGAGTCTGCAGGAAGCAGCTGTACCTTCAGAGGCGTACACAGGGAGGGCGGAGATGTGGCGGGGCTTGAGGGGTGCATGCTTTATCTCCAAAAGAAGAACTGTTAGGATGCACAGGAGGATGGAATGGTATGATGAGAGAGAGAGAGAGAGAGAGAGAGAGAGAGAGAGAGAGAGAGAGAGAGAGACAGATAGATACAGAGAGAGAGAGACATAGTGAGATAGATAGATAGATAGATAGATAGATAGATAGACAGACAGATAGATAGATGATAGATAGATAGATGATAGATAGAGATATGAAGGCATGGGGAGGAGAGAGACTGAGATGGAGAGAGAAGCCCAGGCAGAGTGAGGCCCCACTGTGCCTGCCTTGGGGAGCCTGGGCCAGAGATCCTGTAGAGACAGCTCCCCCCAAAACCCCCTACTACCCTCAGGCCAGCTCCAAGCAGCCTGCAAGAGGGAGGGAGGGGACAGGTGGGCCAGAAATTCTGGCTGCTCCTTGGGATGAGCCCTGGGGTGAGAGCCATCCCCTGCCTCCCCTCTTGGGATACATGGGTGGGGCCATGCCGGACCTACTTTCTGGTCAGAGGCCGTTACCAGAAAAATGTTGGGGGGGGGGGAGTGAGGGCAGGGAAAGGAGAAGAACGGAGAGGGGAGGGGGTATATTGGGAGGTGGTTACCATCTCAGATACTCAGAGTCCCAGAGAGGAGGTTCCCCGGAGCCTGGCCCTGGCCCTGCCCCTGGGGAGCGCTCAGCTCGGCTCAGAGCTGCACCTCCTCCCCAACAGCCCCTCCAAAGAGACTGCTGGCCAGAGCTGTGAGGAGAGCGGGACGAAGGGGAGAGAACAAGAGGGGGACCCCAAGCTGCCCATCCCCAGCTGTGGTAGGAAGGCAGGGGAGGGAGGGTGCGGAGGAGGCAGAGGCAGGAGGAGACTGGTGGCGGAGGCTGGCCAGCAGCAGGGGGAGGCACTGGAACAAAAGCTCACCTGAGGATTTGTTTCTCATCAGCCGGACCTCACGCGCTTGGATGCCATGGGACTGCAGCTGGCCACGGATCTGTAAGGGGAGATACAGATTGGGGCCGGCTCAGCACAGGGGGCTGCTGGGTAGCTGAGGCCGGCTGGAGGCCTCCAGGCCCCGAGGGGCCATCAGTGATGCGCACACACACACCGTCTCCTCTTCCTCTCAAGGCTTTCCCCCAAATGACCAGAGCCCCAGACCCACACCAGTACCCAGTCTCAGCGTTCGGCCCCGGACTTGGAGAGTCAGTTGCAGAACCGGGCCTGGCGCAAGGTGAAGCATGGCAGCATGATGAGCCTTGGGGCAGAGAACGATACGAGAGCAAGCGAGCCTGGCCATGGAGAATGGTGGGCGGGGGCGGCCTGACCAGAGGCTTGGTGCAGCCACAAAGCGAGGAAAGCTGGGATGCAATTCTGGCCCTTGGCTAAGGGGCTGCCCTCTGCTTGCATCAAGAGACCCATGACACACATACGAAACCAGGAAGGACTGGGGTCTGAGCCAACGCCAAGCCATGTTTGCTCCTAGAACCTGAGTGGAGCAAAACCTGGGGCAGAGACAAAAAGGTGTGGTTTGGATGAAGTCAGCCGGAGGGAAGCTGCAGAGGCAGTTCGGGATCTGGCCCAGGTGCGGCAGGGTCTCTAGGCCAGTGGTGGCGCTCGCAGAAGCCTGAACGCCTCTGGGCCTCGGTTCCCTTATCAGGTTAAACAACAGAAAGGAGATTAAACACGCACACACGCACACGTAGGAGGATGAAAAAGGACACACACAGGAGGTTATCAGGACCACAAACACTCAGGAAGGGCTCAGGACACAGCAAGAATTAGGGCTCTGGGGTCCACCTGCTCGGTTTCAGACCCCAACTCTGCCTTGCCCCTCACTGGCTGGGACTTGGGACAAGTCACTTCACTGATGGGGGCCTGGCTTCCTCATCCAGAGAATGGAAAGACAAAGAGTACCTTCTCCGCGGGGTGGCTGTGAGGATTAAGTCAGAAATCCTCAAGAGAGGCCAGCACTCAGTACTGTCTGACCAGGAATGGGCCAGGCGGGTCAGACTGGAGGGCGGCTGGCAGATCTCAGAGGAGAGCTGAGCAGAGAATTCACAGGGAAGGGGGGTGGCAGAGAGGAGGAAGAGAAACAAGGAGGCTATTCTAGGGGCCCTCTCAGGGTTTTACTGGGGCTCTTTAGGGGAAGTCTCCAGGAGAAGGAGCAGGAGAAAAGGGAGGAAGATGGAAGGGAACACAGTGTGGAGAGACTGTTAGCAGCGGAGGAAGGAAGTCAAAGAAAAAACCCAAGGCTTGTCTGGCTGGAGTGGCTCAGTTGGTTGGAGCATTATCCTGTGCATGGTTCAATTCCCGTCAGGGCGCACACCCAGGTTGTGGGTTCGATCCCCAGTTGGGGCATTTACAGAAGGCAACTGATCAATGCTTCTCTCTTTCTCTCCCCCTTCCTCTCTGAGCAGTCTTTCTCCTCCCTCTGTTTCTCTGTCCCTGTCTCTCTCCCCCTTCCTCTCTCTAAGCATGAGGATTAAAAAAAGAAAAGAAAAGAAAAGAAAAAACCCCAGGCTTTGTGGCCAGGCCAGTGAGGGGATCTGATGCAGGTGACAAAAGAGGGCAGGGGGAGGGGTGAGAAGAAAACCTCAGAAAATCCCATGGGGACCCTTTCCACCAGCATCACCTCTACCACCAGCAATGCCTGGCATTGGGCCTGGCCAACGTCTGGCCCTCGACCCACATACGCAGAATGGACGAAGGACCAGGGGCATGTGCGGGAGGAATGCTCTGCTCCCTCCCGCATCCAATCTATCCGCCACTCCGCTCCTCCTTCCAGACCAGGAGACAAGGCCTGCCCGAGGCCAGGTCAGTGCGGAGAGCTGGGAGCCGGTGGGGAGAAGGGGTGAAGGTGCTGAGGGCAGGGTGAGGGAGAAGTTGAGGGCCCTGGAGGAGGAAACCCAGCCTGGCCTCCTGCTCTGCCACCTGCCCGGGGCCATGGGGGGGCACGTACGTCATCCTCAGTGGCTGCCTGTGGCAGCATCCTCAGCATGACGATGTTACTGGCCTTCTCCTCCTCCTCCTCCTCATCCTCCTCCTCCTCCTCCTCCCCTTGCTCCGTGCGATAGTCCTGGTCCCGATAGTCGCCGTCTCGGGGGAAGCCCGGCGGGCCAGTGGGGCTGTGCCTGTGCCGCCGCCGCCGCCTACGCTGAGTCTCGGAGCCCGGGGAGGCCTCGTAGGAATCCTGGCCAACAGAATAAGATGACAGACACCAGACGCGTAGTCAGTCTGGGGTGGGCCTGGGGGCTGGCCACTGGCTCTCTGAGGCAGGCAGGCTCTGAAAGCCAGGGCTGGGCGGGCTCCGGTTAAAGGCCTGGGGCAGGCAGGGGGGTAGGGGAGGCCCTGTTAGTCATCCTCCCCGTGACGTGAGGACTCTGGGGGCTGCCTTGGAGGGGAGTGGGGAGAAGCAGGTGGCTCTGTTGGTGGGGGAAGGAGCTCCCACAGACTGGTGGCCAGACACTGCTTCAATCTCCTTGGGAAGAGGTGGTCTGTGGTTGGCACGCGAAGCCCCGCCCTCTGTGTCTCCCTGCTCCTCCCCAGGCAGCTCAGCTCATACTGTGCACAGTTGTTCCTTGTGCCACAGAAGGCCGTGCGTGCATCGCTTGTGATTCCCAGCCTGCGCCTGGGCCCTGCAGCCAAGCTGTGGGTATAGGAAGAGCTTAAGATCTTGGTCAGAGCCAAGCCAACGTGCAAGGGCCACAGCACGCCTCCTCGTCCCTGATCCTCCGCCTGCCCAGCCTGTCGCCACTAGGACCCCTCCTAAGAGGGTGTGGGTGCTGGCTCCTTGGATGCTGCCCAACCCATCCTTCCAGGACTGAGCAGGCCAGGCTGGGTCCACCCCCCACCCCCGCCCTCGGGAGGGCCAGATGATTCAGCGCTCCACTCCTATCCTTCCCACCGCACCTACCCTCCCCAACTGGGAAAGCTGGGCTGCTTCCCATAGGGGTCTCTGCATTAGACACCCCCCACCCGGAGGGAGGCCAGCGGCCCACACTCTGCCCTTCCAGGGCTGAGGCTGCAAGAGCATCCTTCCCACCCGCCAAGTAAGGGAGCTGCCTGCTGGCTTAGACCAGGGCCCTGAATGCCCCTCAAATGGGGTTTCCCTAAGGCAAGGCTGCCTCTTCCCCTCAGCTGAAGGCTCCCTGATGGGGAGCATCGTGCCTTCCTCCTCAGACTAGGGCTGACTACCAACATGGAGCAGAGGACGGGCCTCAGCAGGGCCTTCCCTTCTGTCTAGGGGCTCTGGCAGCACGGGAAATGCCCACGCTGGCATCCCAGAGCTGCTCTATGTGGTGAGAACTAGTTTCCCAGTGGCCCTCCCGCCCCTAGACGCCGAGTGCCACTGAGAGGCGCTTCAGGAGCCTTGTACTGGCTGGGAGCAGGCATGCACGGCTTGCAAACCGTGGGCCCTAACTGAGTCCTGGGGAAGAGGGAGAGAGGTGGTGGCGAGGGGCCCCCAGAAGTACAGAGCCAAGCATATGGAAGTCAGGGAGCCCCAACTCGGGAGAGGAGCCCCCCCCCCGAGGGGGAGTGGGGACAGACCCTTCAGGTGAGGCAAAGCCACTGAGCACAGTCCAAAGGCATGGGAGCTGAAAGCTACCTGCAGCCAGACGGAGGCCCTGCTGGAGCCACCCCCCGCCCCCACCTGGCCAGGCCGGCCCTGCCGCCCTCACCTCTGCACTCTGCTCCTCGGAGGAGTCATCATAGTCGTGCTTGCCCTCCTGGCTGCCATACTCGCGGGGGTACGAGCGGTAGTCCATGTCTCGGTAGTCATGGTCCCGGCTGCGGTTCTCCCCACTGTCGTCCTGGGAACGGTCGGTGGCTCCATAGCGGCCAGTCCTGTCCCCACGACCACCCCTGGGGGAAGGCAAGTGGGAGGGGTCACAGGGCAGTCCTTTCTGAAACGTGCAATAGGTGAAGCTGAGCCCGACCCACTCACTCTTTGTAGACCCTCAGCCCCAACCCCCGACAGGGGTCCCTAAATCCGGACCCCGCGGGGCGAGCGGGCTCCCACCTCTCTCACCAACACAATCCACTCCTCTCCTTCCCTCCCTCGCCTCTCCATTCCATGCTGTCTTCCTCCCCTGGGCTGCGGGTGTGGAGTCCTGACCTCCACCCAGGACTCCAGCCCAGTTCACTCTCTACACCCCAAACGTGAGTGAGTGCTCTACAAGGCAAAGCCAACTGAGCCCACTCCTATCACTCCCTTCAGTGTCTCCCTCTTACTCTCAGGATAAAACACCAAAATGCTCACCAAGGCCCTACAAGGTCTGCAGGGTCCTGCAGGCGAAGGTTCCTGCCAACCTCCCTCTCTATCTCTGCCTCACCTTGCATTTTGCGCCCTGCCTGTCTCAGTCACCTTGCCAGCACTAGCAGCTGTTTCGTTTAAACTCCCACTGCAATAACTGTAAAGTCATTATTGCAAAGTTGACTTAATGTGCATTTCTTCAATGACTTAAAAAAAAAGTATTAGACTGGCCCAGCTGGCGTGGCTCAGTGGTTGATGTCAACCCACAAACCAGGAGGTCACGGTTCAATTCCCCGTCAGGGCACATGCCTGGGTTGCAGGCTCGATCCCTAGTGGGGGTTGTGCAGGAGGCAGTCAATCAATGATTCTCATCATTGATGTTTCTGTCTCTCTCTCTCCCTCTCCCTTTCTTAAATCAATAAAAATAAATTTTTAAGTGCCCTCCTCAAAAAAAAAAAAAAAAAAAAGAAAGAAAAGAAAAGAAAAAGTAAAGAAAAAGTAAACTAGATTGAGTTCTGGGAAATGAAAGAATCATACCCATTTGGTTTACTGCCCTAGTCTCCAAAGCTTAGCTTAGTGCCTAGTACTCAGTAGGTGCCCAATATTTTATTTTTTTGATTTAAAAAGTATTCTAAAAGCAACGAATACATGTTTACTTAAAACAAAGAAATACAGCCCTAGCTGGTTTGGCTCAGTGGATAGAGCATCAGCCTGTGGACTGAAGGGTCCCAGGTTCGATTCTGGTCAAGGGCACATGCCCGGATTGCAGGCTCAATCCCCAGTAGGGGGTGTGCAGGAGGCAGCCGATCAATGATTCTCATTATTGATGTTTCTCTCTCTCCCTCTCTGAAATCAATAAAAATATATTAAAAAAACAAGCAAGGAAAAACAGACACCATATACACTACCACTAGCAGGAGCCCAATCCTGGTCAGGAACAACACTAGCATGTCTATTAGTAACATTGTTCTAAGACACTAGCTAAAACAACTCAACAAAGGAATGAAGAAAAGAGATTAAAAGTTGGAAAGGAGAAGGTAAAATCAGCAGTACTTGTCAATGATATGAGCATATAATCTGCAGAAATAAATACCTTGCCTGTATTCAGGGTGCCACTGTTTAGAAAACAGGAAGATCCCAAGTATAACTGCATCAAGAAGATTAACTAGCCCTAGCCGGCTTGGCTCAGCGGATAGAGCGTCAGCCTGTGGACTGAGGGGTCCCAGGTTCGATTCCGGCCAAGGGCACATGCCTGGGTTGGGCTCCATCCCCAGTAGGGGACGTGCAGGAGGCAGCCCATCAATGATTCCCTCTCATCATTGATGTTTCTCTCTCTCCCCTCTCCCTTCCTCTCTAAAATCAATAAAGAAATATATTAAAAAAAAAAAGAAGAAGATTAACTAACGGACACGTGTAAAATCTTATGACTGACTACACTTCACTCATATAAACCAGGATACATTTAAAATGGGTCGGTAATTGCTCTAGCTGGTGTGGCTCAGTGGATAGAGCATTGGCCTGTGGACTGAAAGATCCTGGGTTCAATTCCAGTCAAGGGCACACGCCCGGGTTGCAGGCGCAATCCCCAGTAGGGAGTGTGCAGGAGGCAGCCGATCAATGAGTCTCTCTCATCATTGATGTTTCTATCTCTCTCCCCTTCCTCTCTGAAATCAATATATCTATATATCTATATCTACATCTATATATGTTTAAAAGATCTTTAAAAAATAAAATGGGTCAACAATTGACTGATTTTTTTAATCCTCACCCGAGAACACGCTTAGAGAGAAGAGGGGGAGAGAGAGAAACATTGATGTGAGAGAAACAGGCTCTGACCAGTGATCGGACCCACAACCTTTCGGTGCACAGGACAACGCTCAACCAACCGAGTCACTCTGGCCGGGCTGAAATGGGTCAATGATTTAGATGGAAAAAAATGAAACATTAAAAGTAGAAGAAAACATGGGACAAATTCCTTGATAAGCCTGAAATGGGGAAAACTGTAACACAAATCCAACCGCCATGGAAGAAAAGATAACTAAATCCGACTTCATGAAAATAAAACATGTCTGCTTGGAAAGAAACAAAAACCATCAAACACCAAGTGAAGACAAACAACAAACTGGGGAAGATACAAGAAAAGGAAAAAGGAAAGGAACAGAATTCACAGTAAAGAAATATAAACGATTTATATTTGAAAAGATGCTCCATCTCAATCATAACGAAAGATGAAAATTAAAATCACATTGGGCCCTAGTCCGTTTGGCTCAGTGGATAGAGCGTCGGCCTGTGGACTGAAGGGTCCCAGGTTGGATTCCGGTCAAGGGCATGTACCTGGGTTGCGGGCACATCCCCAGTGAGGAGTGTGCAGGAGGCAGCTGATCGATGTTTCTCTCTCATCGATGTTTCTAACTCTCTATCCCTCTCCCTTCCTCTCTGTAAAAATTAATAAAATATATTTTTTAAAAAATCACATTGGGTACACCGCTTAAAAAATAAACATTTAAATGTTATTTTTGTGTATTTTTCTAAATCATTCCTATTGTGGTAGTATATACAGAAAAAATGTACAATTTTAATCATTTTTATGTGTTCAATTAAACAGCACAAAGTATACTGATAACAATGGATAATCTTCACCACTATTTCCAGAACCTCTTCATCACCCCAAACAGAAACTCTGCTCACTGAACAATAACTCTCTGCACGACCTCTATTCTACTTTCTATCTCTATTAATCTGCCTATTCTAGGTACCTCTTTTAAGTGGAATCACATACATCTCTTTGTGTTTGACTTATTCCACTTAGCATGTTTTCAAGGTTCATCCATGTTGTAGAATGTATCAGAATCTCATTCCTTTCTATGGCTGAATATGTATGTATGTATGGTATATACCACATTAAATTTTTTAAAAATCCCCACTGAGTCCTGACCGGTTGCTCAGTGGTTAGAGTGTTGGCCAGCAGACTGAAGGGTTGTGGGTTTGATTCCCAGTCAAGGGCATGTACCTTGTTTGCAGGCTTGGTCCCCAGCCCAGTCGGGGTGAGTGTGGAAGGCAACCAGTCGATATGTCTCTCACGATGCTTCTCTCTCTCTCTCCCTTCTCTCTCCCTCCCTTCCACACTCTCTCTAAAGATCAATGGAAAAAGATCCTCAGGTAAGGCTTAAAAAAAATCCTTACCCAAGGATATGTATCTTTACAAATTGATTTGAGAGAGAGGAGGGGGGGGGAGAGAAACATGGATGTGAGAAACATTGGTCCATTTCTTTTAGTATGTGGCCTGACTGGGGATCGAACCCAAAACCTGGGTATGTGCCCTGACCAGGAATTAAACCTGCCACCTTCCGGTTGTACGGGACAATGCTTCAACCAACCAAGCCACCCCGGCCAGGGCTGGTATACACATTTTGTTTATCCCTTCATCTGTTAATGGACACCTGCACTGTTTCCACCTCCTGGTTGTTTGGGTTATTGTAAATAATACTGCTACGAACACGGGTGTACAAGTATCTGTCTGAGTCCCTGCTTCCAATTCTTTTGGTATATATCCGAGAGTGGAATTGCTGGATCACATGGTAACTCTCTATTTAATTTTTTGAGAACTGCCAAACTGTGTTCCACAGCGGCTGCACCAGTTTACATTCCCATCAGAAACACACAAAGGTTCCAATTTCTCCACATCCTCACCAACACCTGTCATTCTCCATCTTTTCCTGTGCTTATTGGTCGTTTATATATATTCTTTGGAGAAATGCCTATGCAAGTCTGTTGTCTATTTTTGAATTGGGTTTTCTGTTGCTGTTGTAGGAGCTCTTTATATATTCTAGGTGTTAATCCCTTATCAGATATATGACTTGGAAATATGTTCTTCATTTTATGTGGATTGTCTTTTCACTTTTCTGAATAGTATCCTTTGATGTATGAAAGTTTCTAATCCTGATGAAGTCAAACTTCTTATTTTGAAATAATTTTAGATTTACAGAAAGCTCAAAGATAACAGAATTCTAGTACACCCTTCACCCAGCTTCCTCTAATGTTAACAGAAGTTAACTAAGCTGTACACTATATTAGGATTTCACCAGTATTTCCACTACTATCCTCTTTCTGTTCTGTTCCAAGATCAAATCGAGGCTGCCATATTGCATTTAGTCATTACGGCCCCCTCTGGTCTGTTAAAGTTTCTTGGTCTTTCCTTGTTTGTGTTTTTTTTCCAGTTGTTGTTTTTATGATCTTGACAGTTTTGAACAGTACTGGCTAGGTATTTTGTAGAATGTACCTCAACTTGGGTTTGTCTGATGTGTTCTTGTGATTAGACTTGAAGTGGTGGAGATTATGGTGTTTTGGGGAGAAGAATACAGTAGATATGAGCTGCCCTTCTGATCACATAGTACCGGGGTGCACATGGTATCAACATGTCTTATCACTGGTGATGCTGACCTTGATCATCTGGTTGTGTGGTAGGATCTGTCAGATTTCTCTGCTGTAAAGTTTCTCTTTTTCCCTTTCTACTCTCTACTCTTTAGAAGCGAGTCACAGTCACTAGGACCAGCCCATCCTCAAGAGGAGGGGAATTAAGTTCTACCTCCTAGAGTGAAGAGTATCTATC